GTTCATAAACACAAGAGATTTAATCTCCTTGTATTATCTCAAATCTCAGAAAAATCAGAAGGATTTTCATTCTCAAAAAGTAATTTTTACTTCAATAAAATGGCTGAATAATATATGTTCTAAAATATATATAGCTCAGACTGGCCAAGTAAGGCAGCTATTAATGCAAATTTTTGCCTTTGAATGAAATATCTAGATAACAAACTGTTTTTCTGAGTTGCAGACAATCCCACACAAACCTATCTTCCTCTAAGAAATTAAAAATGTTTGTAATTATTTTCAAGGGAGAATCTTAGAGCATTTTTTAAAACAGATGTGAATACAGACCTTTGGAATTATCATTTTTCTATTATAAAGCTTGTGCATTTGAAGCAGTTGCACTTTGATGTCCGGATTAGTGCTACTTTGATGTGCAGTTTGAGCTAAGATTTCTTCATTACATGTGTTTGATTCTAACCTGTGCTGATCTCTTCAAAAACAGAGTTTTTCATAGAGCAAATGTATATATGTAGCATGTGACCATGTGCATCTAAAGCTAAAGCAGCAGCATAGGAAGAGGAGTATGCAAGTAGGTGGCTGATGTAAAAATAATATATTCTGGATAGTTTCCAGTAGGGTGACTGATTGTGGTTGCTCTCAGTTTCATTACCGCAAGACAAATTGTTCAATATATTTCAAATGTACATCCAATCTGATAGACATGGAATGTGAATTTAGGCACTTTTTCCTCTGAGCAGGATCAATATGTCTGCAGTTGAATGGTGTCTATGAAGTAAAATATTAATTTTTAATAAAGCCTCAGAATCAGTTACTTCACCTTTTTTTTTTTAAAACTTTAGTTTGTTTCTAATAAAACCCAAGTTTGACAGATATTTATTTTCCAATCACTCATCAGTGATTGGTTCACAATTCAAAAATAAGATCAGCTGTGAACTTCATTTGTGATCAGCTTTTTTTTTACAGGCACTGACCTGTCAAACCCTTTTTTTTTTTTTTTTCTTGAGAGGAATATACTGTTTTTGGTTAACTTTGTGTGGGATAACATTCTTGACTCTTAAGTGGGGCAAGAAAAATCTCAAAAAAACCAAAAAAAGTCAGTGAGAGACGAGAGAGGGAGGAGTAAATCTGGGTATCAGTAGATAATAATATCCAGTAACTAAGATTCTTGTCAAGAGACTTGAGAATTCCCTCATTCAAGAATAGGAATCTGAGCACTCTGTTCCTCCTGTATGACAACTATGTTGATAAGTACTACCTGGTGGGAAGAGGATTTTCTCTTTTTATTTTTAAACATATTCAAAAGAATTCTTGTTCTTTGCATGCAGTACAGAACAGGAAGTACTTTGAAGTCATGGATATTTTTGTAGGACATGAAAATTATTGCCTTCCTGTATCTGTTTATTAATAAAAAAAGAATAAAAGGTATTTAACTTGTTTAAGAGACCAGATGAGTTGTGAGTTTTGTAAATTTTGGGTGATTCTTGCTATTTAGTAAAAGTTTAGGAAGAAAGGATTGAATTGCGGTTTTGCAGTTTGATTTAGTAGTTAATTGTGCCTCAATATATCCATCTGAAAATATTATTGGTTTCGAATAACCTCTTGCATAGTGGGTTTACCCAGTTATGAAGTCATTCCCCATGGCTTGAAGGACATGAAAGAGCTTATAGGAAACATATAGGTCTACTCCAGAGTTTCTGAACTAAAGGAAGATTGCAGGAACTCTGTGTGTCCATTAATGCTGCTATCTGTGGAGAGTCTGAACTTGAAAGGCGGAGAGGCAGATGGAGAAATTCTCACCTCTGCATCAGGCCACAGGGATCAATATGCCAGAAAATACATATGTTTTCAGGCTAAGAAATAGATTAAAGAAGAGACACTAAAGGTGTTGTTTGATTGAAGACAACTTTCAAATCACCCTGGCAAAACTGATATTTTAAGAATATCAAGTTAACAAAATTATTTTTCTTGCCTGTGTTACCCACATTCACAGTATTTCCCTACAGTCTCAAGCTCTGAAATGCAGAATACCTAGGGTTACTTTCCCTTTTCCAGGCAAGGGAAGGAGTTAGCCCTGGGAAATGTGATTACTTGTAGTACAGAGATACTCACAACAGTATGAAGTTGGTAGACATTAAAAGGAACGCAACAATGGAATATGGATATTTTCTCCTATTTAGAGATATTAGAGTTGTGCTGTCTTACAAAGCATTAACTCTTACTGGCCAGAAATATTGGTAACTTTCCCTTTAAAATAAGTGTATGACACAGTTATCTTCTGATATGTATTTGTTTTACTGTTGCTTAGAGGTTTTATGTACCCCTGGGTGATGGGACAGAGTGCACCCTCAGCGAAGCGGGAGGAATGGGTGACAAAGTAGAGAGCAGGGACTCACTTTCAGGAGGCCTTGACAAGTTGGAGAAAGTCATGGAGTCCAGCAAAGGCAAATGCAATGTCTTGATCTGGAAGTGAAATAACCCCCTCCTGCAGTGCAGAACTGGGGGCTGACTGAGTAGGAAAAGACTTTGCAGCAATGATCTTGTTAGCCCAGGTGAACAATAAGCTGAGCATGAGTTGGCAAAGGCCCGTTGCACAGGTCTAGGAAGGAATTTAGCTAGCATGTACCTGAAGGTCATCCTTCACATTTATTTAGTATCTGTGAGGCCATACCTGGAATACCATGACAAATTTTGGGCTCTCTGCTGTACAAAAAGATATGGATATACTGGACTGAGTCCATTGCAGGGCCAGAAGGTGGCTGGGGGCTGGGACACCTGAACTGGTAGAATCTCCATCCACTGAGATGTTGAAAACATGACTGGAGGTCCTGATAACTTGCTCTATTGGACCTGCTTCCAACAGGACTTTGGATCACTTGGTTTTCAGAGGATACTTCCAGCTCCTTGATTCTGATACACCAGTTATGTGTCTAATTTATTATTTTCAGTAACATTTTCTTTGTTAAATTATTTATTGAATCTCTCAAGTTATGGGAAAATTAAGCTCAGCAAAAATTTTATAACTTCATAATTCAGTTGAAGAATGATGTATCTGCATGTATTAGCATCCTGAGCCTAATAATTTAACAGTATAGAGCCTCTTAGAGACGTGAAGTACAGGACAAAAGTAATCCTGATCTTTGCTTAAACTGATGAAATATGCCATCTTGTAATCTACTTATTTGTCACATTCAGATTAACTCCACAAGTTACTGCATCTTTACTTACAATGAGGGAACTTTACTCAGAGTTTCAAAACAGATTTAGAACAACAGTGACTCAGAAGATATTATCTGATGAGTAGTAATTGAGTTAAGAATGACAGAACTGCAAAACTAAATTTAAATTCATAGTGGAAACTCAAAAAATGGCAATTTACTGATGAATTATGGGCCTTTACAGAAAAGTTAAGAAATGGAAATGAATAATTTTACAGTTTAAGAAAAAAAAAAATTTTGAATTCTTTTCCCTTCCACACACTTTAGCCTCCAAGGGGGAATAAAAAAACCCCAAACCAAACTGAGACAAAAAGAGACAAAAAGAATTACATTTGGTATAAAGAAAAGTTACAACCCAGGGATGACACCAAAAATTCTTTCACGGTTGTGGTTCTCTCCAAAGTCTGCAGTGAGAATGGTTTCCCATAGAGGATAGAAGTTGTTTTTGGAAGAATAAACTGAAAGAAAGTCTATGGATCAAATACAGTTCTTTTCTCACTCCTGAATTTTGATTCAGTGATAGATCTGATGGGTCAACATCCCAGACATTTTATGTAAAGCAGAAACATGAGTTCATAGTGTTTCTACTCTGTAATTGCTGAAAAGTTAAAATTAATGCTGTACATTTTAAAGAAAATTGGTAATGTAATAAAAGAGCAGAAGAACAATAGTGAAGAAAATGCAACTGCTGTTCCACTGACAGGAGATGAGTGTGTTTAGTAGATTAAGCCCATACACATATGGATATGTGTGTGTGTGTGTCAGCAAGAAAAGGAGCATTGATTTTGACAAGCTGAAGGGAACAAATATTATAGAGTTATATCAAAATGTCAAATGTATTTTAAACCTGTGACAGCCCATAATCTGTGTTAGGAACTGAAGTAGGAATTAATGTTGAAAAGCAAAATATCAAAATGCTGCAGGTGACTACAAAAGTTAGAACTTTCCCATGAATATTTATTACCAGTATTAAAAACAAATAATCATTTTTTTTCATATGACATGCACTCACCTGTCAGAGATAGTAAAGAGCACACTTCCTAGTAGCAACAAAAGTAGTAACAATCAATGTCACTTCTATGAATTAAGTATACAGATTATAAATCTAACAGAATAGCTGCACTATTGGGATGCATAGTTTGAACACACTTCAACAACCTTCAGAAGGTTTTTGACCACTACAAAACTCTTTCTATTCCACAATTGGCATAAGTCTACTAATATTTCAGGATAGATCAAAAGGGAGGAGGGAAGCCATCTTACTGGGATTCTTGACATTATTTCGTTGTATCCATCCCTTGGATTTTGAAAACTGAGCCTTTTTCTAGTACTCCACTTTACTAAGTCTCAGTGCTGGTAATATCTTTTAAAATAGAATTTTCACAAACTATTCAAAATTGGTTTACAGTAGCAAATTTTATATTATTTCTCTGTAATAACTATATTTTATAGAAACATAATTATCACAACAAACTGTGAAGTGCTGGATAATATTTATGAAAATATAAAATTGCAATGTCAGTGCATGTTGGGTTTTTTTGGTGAGGGTTTAAAGAGATTACTTTTTTTAATGTAAGTGCCTTTAATGCCTTAGCATGTGAAATATTCTAAATTTTGGTGCTGTATTTACTGTCTAAGCAAAAACATTTACAGCTACTGAAGGCATGAACATTAGTGAAATAAAAGAAAAAACAAGGCCTTCCTGAACCAATAGGTATAAAACCAGGTCTTATTCTACCCAATAATAATCAGAACACTATATATGTGAATTTCTTTCTTTTCTAGCGCCACTAACAGATAAACCACCAAAGCTTTTACATCCCTTGGAGAGTAAGCTAACAATTCAGGAGACTCAGTTAGGTAAGTAGCAAATGTAATCTCTGTTCAAATTGTATGAAGGTTTTGATGTGTTAATGTATGACGGTGATCTGATGGCATGTTGGCGTTAATAATTTCATTGAAAAGACATTAAACAGACTTTGTTTCCATGCAGAGATGTATCATATACCATCTAGAAGATTGTTATTCCCCAAAAACATCTAAGTAATTAATATTGAACTCTTATTTCTTGAATATTATTGATACTGGGTTTTACATTTGCTGAAAGTCAATAGTTATATGAATCTGAACTTTTATTTGTAACTTCCCCTTTTCTGTATATATATATATATATATATATATATATGCATATATACTTATTGTGGGATTCAGTGGGATTTTGTGATTTGCAAGACTTCTTTGCTTTTGTGGATGCTTTTGATTGTTCAGTTCTTACAGAATTGTAAAGATATTCTGTAATTATAAGGGTTGTGTTGGTCAAATCATCCAGCAAACAGTTATTTTACCATAATAGCATCTGATTATTCTAAATGTAAGAATATTTATGTATAGATGAATGAAGAAAAATTGATGCATGAAAAAAACCATTTTGTTTCACTTTTTCTAGTCTAGTGGATGGGGGGTATGTTTGGTTACTTTAGTGTCCCACTGCTGTAGAGGTAATTAAGGCTCCACAACTAAGTGCACAAGTTACTACAGTTTGCAGGATATAACAATCTATCTCTTTCTTGAATTGACACAGACAGAAACTTGTAAGAAACAAGAAGTCCTCAGTGGGTTACTCTGGAATTATGCTTTGGTGTCAGAACAGTAACCTATTGATAGATGTTTTAGCATGTTAGTTACAGAAGAATTTGGATACAAATATAGTGGTTGTTTAAACCTCATAGGAAAAAAAATTTCAGCAAACAAAACTCAGTACATTCTGCAGCACACCATCAGAAAAAGCAGAAGGCTTGAAAATTAATTCTGACAGTCATTGGCAGGGTGTTTTATGATGATTGCCAGCTTGTGGTTAATAGTGGACAGAGAATAACTCATCTTTTTTTTTTTTTTTTTAAATTAATAAACTCTTACTTTGAATCATTCATGCTGTTCAGGTGATATTCCGAAGTGATGATATTCAGCTTTCTCGGAAACAATCATATAGAAAAGGAGAAATGTAATGTTTCCTTCTCGAGCTACCTTCTGTTCTTCTGAAGTTGTTGGTTCTGATATACTGACTCAGAAATCTTTTCCTGTATGACAGTCCTTTATGATTTTATGTTATTGTTTGTATACAAGAACAAAGAAAAGAAAGCAAAACAATCTACACATTTGTTTCTTAACTAATGTTGCTTACTGGGATATTTTTGCTGAAAACAAAAACCCTAAAAGGCAGAACTTTTCTGGGCTTTGATGTTGACTTGCTAAACATACTGTACGGTAAGACTATTTCAAGAAAAGTGTAATTATTAATGGCTAGCTAGAGGCTTTTTTTCTATGACTTTTAGAATTAATCTCAGTTTGTATTTCTCGTAGTTCTAAAAAACAGATTAAATAATTTGAAAAGAGGTAGGTTTGAAAAAGACTTTATTCAGAAAACTAAATAGCTGTTGATGAATATGGAAGAGTTAACTTGAAAATGTCACTTTCAGACACAGATGGGAAAGTCTGACCATAAATGAATGTGAATCTACAGTACTTAGCCTTATATCAAGAAGTTAGAATAATATATTATTTGTTGTTTAAAAGCCTGTGAAATAGCCTGTGAGAACTGGAGCAAGTACAAAAAATTGATAGTTCCCTGACACAAAAATTGTATTGTTCCACTCTCTAGATTTAATGCCTTGGTTCTGCTGGATAACCTTTGAAAGGTCTATGTTTCCCTGAGGAAATCCAGTGTTCATTTCTGGGGGCCAGTTCATACCTTGAAAAAAATGTAGAATATTTCATCATCAAAATAATGCCAAGATTCACTTAGATGAAACTTAGATAGTTACCTACCTGAGTCTTGGGGTGACCACATGTTGCAGACTGGTCTAGACATTGCCAGAAAACATGTCAGTCCTCCAGAATGTGTTTGGGATGGTGTGATGGTCCCTTATTTGGAAAACAAATTTATTTTGGTGGAAGCTGGGGAAGTGGAAAGGGTCGCAATCCCATTGCAAAAGAAAAGAGAGAGCCAGGAACTGGGAAACTGAGGTAGTCTGGGATTTCAGTAGAAGGTCACCAGTCGGTGTGGTGGGGAGCTGGGTCAATCTCTGCTCTTCATCCACATTTCTGTCTTTCTCACCTTGCAGTCCTCTGTCCTGAGTCAGAAATGAAGCAGGTTGCATGTGTCAGGGCAAGCTCTGGGAGGTGCATACCTAATTTACAGGGATGTGTGTGCAGCTGCAGGTGCACATAGTGTACTAAAAAGTCCGTACTGATGGCTTACCTCCAAATCTTCCCCTGCTGGGGGAGGGGAGGGGGGCTGTGGAGTGGAGCTGGGCACACTTTTGAGGAAGGCCTCAGTAAGGCCAGAGGGTTTTCTGCTGAACAAGCTACTGGAGTTCAGTACTTAAACAGAGCGCCTTCATTTAGTGTCTAAATCAAGGTGGGAAGACTCCAGACAAACCTTTTTCATTTGGCTCCACACCGCTAAGTGATAGAGATATTTGACATTTGTCATCGGGATATATTGGCTTCTGTACACCAGCAATTGGAATTAATATCATGGGACCACAGACCTGTTGTGTTGTTTTGCATGGCTTCCATAAAACAGCATCAAACCGAAAAGTGCACATTAGGGAAGGAGTTTCTCTAAGGGGTGACTGATAGAGTGTTATGGCATAAGCTTGCTGCAGTTTGAGTTGATAAGAAAAAAGGAAAGAAACCAGAGCTAGAGAATTTGCACAGCTCAGTCCAATAAACCTCCCATCACAATCAAGTTGTCCACAGTTAGCTGTGGAAGAGGTACCATGCTACTCAACTGACGTCTGAGAGAATGTTAAGCATGGCTGCACTGAAATGAGCAACTTTAGAGAGTCACAAGTATCTTGAGATCTCATCAGAAGTATCTGTTTATTTCACTAAATAGTAACTAGAGCTGCATAAGATAGAAGCACAGGATAAAAACTGAAGAAGTTAATTTCTCAAAGGCTTTTCATGAAAAAATCCCTATAGGACAGCCAAAGAACAAAGGAGAGAAACATAGATGAGAAAAGAGAGATTAGTTTCCAACTTATTCTGTTCTGCACCTAATGTTTTTTGTTTGTTATTTCACTTCCAATTTTGTAATCAATTACTTAATCCCATTGCAAGGGTAAAACCACTATTTTCTTTCTAAGCTTTTCGCCTGTTAAAAGAATTTTTAGGCAGTGGTGGTGACCTCAGTATAAATTTCTTCTCTGGAAACAACCACTCCAGATAAGATTGCATCCTGCAAAGCTTGGAGCTGTAAGAAGATGAAGAGTGTTTCCCACTCAGCTCTGAGCCACCCTGTGGTCTGGTAGCAGCATATGCCAGGGAGGGGAGAAAAGCTGGCAATCAACAGGAGGCCAGGGAAGGCAAGGCAGGGTAATGAAGAACATAATGGCCCAAGGAACTCCATTCCACAATAACTCCATCCCACAATATTCTTCCTCTTACCTTCCACAGGCTAGCAAAATCAAATGAACAAATCCCTGCTAACATAATAATAATAAAAGCACAAACCTTTTCATTGAGATTTGTTCAAAAAGGAATTTATTAACATTGTTTCTTACATATAAAAAATCCTAAAACTTCAGGCAACTGTATTTTTAATTCTAGGTTCATGCCAATCTTATATATTTTTTAAGTAAATATACCATATGCATGATATGTAAATTTATGTAAAAAATATCATCTGTTTTTTTTTCTGAGTCTTTTTAGATTCACCTGTCTTTCAGACAAATTTGTTTTGGCTTCCAGAACTGCCCCATATCTTCCTCTCTCAAGAATATTTGAGAAAAATCTGATTTTAGTATCCAGTTGGTTCATCTCACATTACTAAAGAAGATAGATATGATTCCACAACAGACAGTAATGGATCTGAATAAAAAAATTACAAAACATGAAACACCTCACAAGGTAGTCAGCCTCTCTTATCTCCATTTTTTTTTCAATGTGTTTCCTGTTTCTGCACAAGGCTGTAATTTGGCATGCCAAATTTCACCTAGAAAAATAAAGCTATTGTTGAATTATTTTTAGCTGGCCATGAAGTTAGAGAAGGGAGAAAAAGAGGAATAAAAGATTTCCAACACTTTCTGAATGGATCTAAAAGCAAAGTTTGTACAGGAACCTAAGCGTTTTCTCTGTCGTCTGAATAAAATGAATTTCTCTGAATATTATCCAACACAAAAATATTACTCTTGTGACCAAATATGCAGCGAATATCTGTCCCATTTTTATCTAGGGCATTATTTTGATAAAATTAAATTGACTATTATGTAGGGAATTGAGGATTTCTTCTTTCTTCTCCTTTTCTGCATATATTCAAGAAAAAATTCATTAAACTATTTTTAATAAACTATTTCGAAAGTAATAATACAAGGAAGTTCCCCATCAGGGAGGGAAGAATGCTACTTCATTTATAGTACTTTGTAGTCAGAAAAAACTTCCACACAAATTGGCCTTATTAAAGATAAAAACATTCCTTAACTAGCTTAATCAGTAGATGTCTAAATAATTTAACTAAAATGATATTAAATAACTAGCAATCAGTGAATCCTTTCAGGATGGAAATGGAAATGAAAGAATAGAGAATATTATAGATTTTTATCTCTGCATGTTTCCTCTAAATGTTATATTCACTCTGTAAAAGAAACATGTTTTTTTTTATATATTATTATTATATAAGGAATTCTAAATTTATCCAATTACACCAACTTTTTTTAAACCAATTTGAACTTTTTTTAGATCATGTGATTCAACTGGACACTTTGATATATTCTTTTATTAGATTAACATGGTACGGGCAAGAGTTTCACACGGAATGAACAAAACTCTAAATTCATAATTTACTTCAAACTTATCAT